TGAAATACCTAAGGACCATGAGCGGAACAGTAACAAACTATGTACACTCAGCAACCCTTGGACTATGGCCCTAAAAGCACCAGTCCTCCTAAAACTGCTTTTACTTTCCTTTGTTATTTCCCTGGATCTCTTATGTGCCAATTTTAAAAGCCATGTTCCACTGCAAAGGTTTTACAGTTCATCCTTTATCTAAACTGTAAAGGCAAACTTACAATGAAAACAAGTGGGAAAACGGCTGATATGAACACAGCATAATTCCTGGTCAATCAAATAAATGAAAGTTTATGACCCAAAGTATCACCCTTCAAAATTATTCAAATACTTCCATATATAGGTTTTAAACAATTCAAAATATTTCCTGAGCAAATTCTTTAACAAGTGCCATGCCCTAGCCTGAGCACTGGGTGACCAAAGAAACTACCCTATCATCATTAAGCTTACAGTCCTCATATCACGAGGACAGACATAAACTGGTATTATATATCTAGCCACTTGTATTAAGTTCTATGTGGCTATAACAAGGTGAGTGGCTATTTTCCTTGGGAGTGATGATAAAGGCTCTGTAAGAGGAAGCAAGCAGTATTTAACTAAGACCCAAAGATTAAGCAGGAGATTGGGGGGGGTCGGGGGGGGGTAGCGCTAGGATTTGCAAGAAAGGCAATGATGGACACTCAGCAGGACCCTGGTCCAGACAAAACCAGCAGGAGTCAAGGCCATGAAAAAATAAGGCACATGACCCTGGCTAGTGTATTTCAGTTGATTGGAGCATTATCCTGTACACCAAAAGGTTTCAGGTTCGATTCCCAGTCAAGGCATATACCTAGGTTGTGGGTTCAATCCCCAGTTGGGGTGCATACAGGAGGCAACTGATTCTCCTTCTCTCTCCCCTCTTCCTCTAAAATCAATAAATATATGTATTTTTTAAAAGCACAGAACAACAAAAACATATTTAAGTACACAGCTGAGTCTGGTTCTGGCTTAAAAGATAGCATGATCAACAACAAAAAAAAACAGCCATTTAAGAATAGAAACATCTTTATCAGAATTAACAAAATTGTTGTTAAAATGAATCGTTTCCTAAGCCCTGGCTGGCGTAGCTCAGTGGATGGAGCTTGGGCTGGGAACCAAAGTGTCCCAGGTTCAATTCCCAGCCAGGGTACATGCCTGGGTTGCAGGCCATAACCCCCAGCAACCGCACATTGATGTTTCTCTCTCTCTCTCTCTCTCTCTCTCTCCCTCCCTTCCCTCTCTGAAAATAAATAAATAAAATCTTTAAAAAAAAAAAAAAATGAATCGTTTCCTAAACCTAAAAAGGCTTTTAATGTTGACTATCTCTGTCAGAGACACCCCCAGAACTGACTGACACCCTCTTATATAGTTTTAAGATAAAACTGAAAAAGTTTAATTGCACAAAATTTCCACTTGAATTTCGAATTAAGAGAACATACACAAAAAATACTTCAAAACAACAACATTGAGTTATTTAAGTTCATTCAATTTTTTTATAAAGTTTATCAACAAGCCAAGTTCAATCAATACAAAGCAGACTAAACAGCATAATAAAGTAACAGCATGTGGTCAGACAAGTAACGCATCATCATTTTCACCCACTAACTAGCAAAAATCTTAGAAGGAAGGTCATCCATTACACTTATCACTGAACGATGAAGGGATTTATACAGGGTAATTCACAGATCAAAACACTTATTTTGACAACAAATGCAGATTATGCTCTGAACCAGCATTTACTGACACTCTCTAATTATGTTACTTAGTTGATAATGAGCTCATTGCCCACAGCATAAAAAACCTCTCCTGATATGTAATAAAACACAAACTTACTGTGTAAAATATACTTAAAAACCCAAGGCACACAAAGGTTCTTGAAAAATACTCTCAATATTCCTTAACTCTACTTGTAGAAAGTTCTACTTGTCACTGTATCAACACTGTAATTATAGCCAACATGACAGCCACTAGTCACAAGCAGCCCATCTGGTTTAGAGAGATGAAAGGCACACTACTGGTACAGTGTGATTAACATGGCCGGTCCACAGAGGGTCTAGAGAAAAACATCTGACAGTGGCAATCCAAGGCAGAAAGCTGACACAGAGTAAGAACTGCAAATGAGGAATTCAGAACTGTGTGACACCTTTAAAAACAAACTTCTGGTAAATTTTGTTATGTATGTTTTACCACAATAAAAACTTTTCAACAACAAAAAAAAGAACTTCTGAAAGTTTCCAGTTTGGATCATATCTAGCAACATCTTTGGGTAGCTTTTTAACTAACTCAAGAGGCATGCACAAAGAACACAGAAAAATGTCATAGCAACTTGGTCTTTGTTTCCTCCCATCTCATTCCATTCAAGAGGCCTAGCCTATCAAATGAGATCCTGCTTTTAAGCGTGAAACTACAGAAAGAGAACAACAGCTGAATGGAGGGTGGGGGAGGAAACACCAAAGATAGAGATCCAATTCCAGGGTCACAATCAAAGTTGAGCAAGATGTTTTTCCTTTTTTTAAACTACAGTTTCAAAGTAATGTCAGAATATTTGTGCAATAATTCTCAAAAACACAAACAGAACTCCAGCTCTTCCAGGGCAGCCAACATTTAGTAAGAGAAATCAAGGTCTCAAAGGCATCAATCAGTTTCAGGGTCTGTGATTTAGAACTATCCAAGTTATGCCATTGACTGGGTTTGCACAAACCAAAAATAGTAACTTTCGACGGCATTTTTCCACAAGAAATATCATCTTACATCGTTCTGCTGAATTCATCTTATCATCCCACCAGAAGGACCAAGATACTCTAAGTTTTCAATTCAACGACCATGCACAATTACTCCTCAGTTGAAAAGGAGTGTTGAGGATATTGCTTAAATCACTTTAGGAAACTCACAATATAGGGAAGCTTGAAATTTTATTTCTCTAAAGAGAAATTTCCAAAACCACCCTGTTCTTGCAAAAAGATATAAATCGTCTCATAACTTGTAGAAATTTAAGAATGCTGCATCTTAAATGTTAGGAAAAAAAGATGGTTCTCAAAGCATAGGGCCCTCAAACCAGCTTAATCTTCCAAAAGCCTCTTCCAAAACTTCCTGAAAGACAGGATACAAGACTGGCTTCCCAAAAACATAACAGAAGCAGAAAGCCTTGATGGGACACCAGAAACAGAGCAGACTTCAAAAAATTAAGACTCCCCCCCAAGATGGCGGGGATACAGGATTTAACAGCACAATCCCTCTTTGAGAGGGGACTGAATCCATGAGGCAGGGCCAACCACACACAACCACACACACATTCTCTCTCTCGCTCCCCTACACAGGCGCACACACACACACACACACACACACACACACACACACAAAACCCCTCCCCCCCCCCCACCGCCCTGCCAGGGGATGATGAAATGAGGAACGGAAATTAACATTTCAGGCAACGTCTCACATTGTTCCTGGAGGCCAAGGGCTGCTGTTGCAGCCGCCACTGCTTCCCTCCCACCCGCCCCCCAGTCCCGCCTACCCTCCCCCAAAACAACACCCTCTGCGCTGCTGCCCCGAATTCCTGCCCCTCTGCGAGCCCACGCGCGCCTCCTGCAACCCCGGCGCCCCCACTTTCCCTCCAGGGCCCCGGCTCGCCCGCCCTCTCCGGCTCAGAGCCCGAAACCCGCCAACTCCCATTTCAAAACAGCGATAATAATAGGGACACTGGGAATAACAACTACCACCGCTACCGTGAAGGCGCCCCTCCCGCAGGGTCAGAGGTCGGCGCCCGCGCTCCCCTGGGGCCCTGGGCCCCCGGAGCCCACCATAACCCCTCACAGCTGCCCGGGACTCCCAAGACCCACCCAGCGGCCCCCAGCAGGCCCTTAAAGCTGCCCGGGGCGCCCAGCCCCACCCCTTAGCCCCTCACGGCTGTCCTGAGCCCCCCAACCCCCAGCGCTCCCCAACTCCCTCCTCTAGCACCTTCCATCAGCTCCACAAGATTGCTCCAGGAGCCCCAGACCCACCGTTGGCCCCTCATGGCTGCCCAGGCCCGCCCCGGAACCCACTCAGTCCCTCACGGCTCCCTTCGGGCCGCCAGGCCCGCCCCAGAGCCCACCCTCAGCCCTTCAAGGGTGCCAGGGCCACCAGGCCCACTGTGGGCCCCTCACCGCTCCCCCCAGGCCCAACTGGAACCCCCGTAGGACCCTCAAACCCATCCCAGCGTCCCCCGTAGGCTCCTCGAGGCTGGCCCGACCCCCGGGCCCGCCCCAGAGATTCCCCGTAGGTTACTCGCCGCTCCCCAGACCTCCCGGGTCCCCCCAAGTCCAGCGGGAACCCACCCTCAGTCCCTCACAACTGCCCTGGACCGCCCCAGGGGCACCCTAGGTCCCTCACGGCTACCCCAAATCCCGCCGGAGCCCCCCATCGGCCCCTCGCCAAGGCCACAGGCTCTCCGGGAGCCCCGCTCCGGCTCCTCACGGCTGCTCCGGGGCCCCTACCCCACCCGGAGTCCATCCTCAGTCTCACAGGGCTGCCCCAAGCTCCCTAGGCCCACGAGGAGCCCCCCGTTCGGGCCCTCACGGCTGCTCCGGGCCCCCTTAGATGCACCCAGAACCCATCCACAGCCCCTCAGGGTTGCCCCCAGCCCGGCAGGCTCATCTAGACCTCCCTGTCAGTCCCTCACTGCTGTCCCAGGCCCTCAGGCCCGCCCGAAGCCCTCCATCGGCCACTCACGACTACTCAGAACTGCCCAGACCCACAAGGAGCCCACCCTCAGCCCCCCAGAGCCACTCCAAACACCTCAAGCCCGGCTACACCTCCCCTATCAGCCCTTCGTTAATATCCTACGTCCCCAGGCCCACCGGGAGCCCCCCGTCGGCCCCTCACAGCTGCCCTGGACCCCAGGCCCGCTGGAGCCCGTTGTGCTGCTCCGCCCGGCCAGGAAGGCCTGCAGGCCGCGAGATGGTCCCACGACCCGGTACCCACCAGACCCGCGCCCCCGCGGTGGTTCTCACCCGGCTCTGCACGGCGCAGCTCCGCGGGCTCAGCGGCGGCGCGCAGGCGAGGCCATGCAGCCCCGACCCGGCTCCCGGCCCGCGGCCCGCGCGGGAAGGCGACGGAGACGGCGCGGGTTCCGAGGCCAGCGAGGCGGCCCCTCGGGCGCGACCGAGCTCGGTGGCGCCGCAGCGGCTCGAGCGCTCACTGAGGGGGCGTTGGGCCGCGCGCTCCGCGGCGGCGCCTCCCCGCCTGTGGCCCTCGCTCCATAGCGATCCGGCTCGGGCGGCCTCTGGCTCCGGGACCCGCGGCGGCAGCGGCGGGCGCCGTACTCATGAGACGCCGCCGCCCATTGGCCCGCCGTATCCGTCACCGCCATTGGCCCGCTGAGCTGGGCACAAGGCTGTAAACGTCACGACGTCAAGAAGGAAGTGCGCGCGGGGTGAAGGGGCGACGGGAAGATTGACGGCTTTTGTGACAGGCCTGGGGCGGGACCAGAAGGACGTTCTGGGACGGATTGGTCAAGGTCGTGCGTTTAGGCGCAAGGGTCGCTGGGTTAGCAAGCAGCTGGATTGGCTGCCTGAGTCGCAACGGGGAAGGTGGGTTTTTTCGTTGTAGAGCGTGACAATTGGCCTTTCTAAGCTCCGGAAGCGATGCGGAGAACTGTGGGGAACCAGGCCTGGGTGTTGAAGGAGCTAGGAGACGGAATGTGCGTTTGTTCAGCCGCAGCACCCATTCGACTCGGACTGGAGGCCTCTGTCCATACGCTGAGAAACGTGAACGTACTGGTCCGCCGCGGAGCCGTACACAGTTCACCGACTCGTGTGAGCCCGCAAAGCGCGGAGCGGGTGATTGGGGTCATGCGGTGGTGCCTTGTTTGCGGCTGAGTCAGGACCCACTTTTACTTTTGTTTGCTTGTTTGTTTTTTTTTTTTTTTGAGAGAAACATCAGTTTGTTGTTCCACTTACTTATGCTTTTATTGCCCGATTCCTGTGTGTGTACTGACCGGGAATCGAACCCACAATTTCGGCTGTTGGAGACGCTCTAATCAACTGAGCTTCTTGGCCAGGGCAGTCTGACCCCACATTAAACGCTCGTTTTGCCACCTAGGAAACTGTGAAGTAGTGGTTGTGCCATAACCAATCCCTCAGACTCCTCTGGGGAGACCGATTCTGCTCTTCCCACTCATAACCAATAGCTTCCCTGGGTAAGGGAGTACACCTCACAATAGCAGGAATCCATGCATGAGCTGGCACGCAACCATGAAAAGATGACGCAAAAGTACCTATATTTGCCTTATTTTAAAAATTACCTGGGAAGGCCCTGGCAGGTTTGGCTCAGTTGCTTAGAGCACCTCCCTAGTAGGCCAAGGTTGTGGGTCTGATCCCGGCTCGGGGTATATACCTGGGTTTCTGTCGAAAGGCAACCAGTCATCGGTATTTCTCTCCTCCTTTTTCTCCCTCCCTTCCCATCTCTCTAAAAGATAAATAAATGTTTTTAATAAATAAACTAGATTAAAAAATTTTTAAAAATTGCCCCTGGTCAGGTGGCACAGTTGGTTGGAGCATCAGTCTGCACACACCAAAATGTGTTCCACGCCAGGGGTGTCTGTCTCTCCCCGACCCCCACCCCGCCCCGTAAAATCAATGGAAATATATCCTGGGAGAGAATTCAAAAAGAATTACATGGTAAAATGATACAAGTTAGACCTCAGACCCCATACTCACCTATTGTATTAATCTAAATAGGCGGGAACTAGAAATTAGGGGGTTTTTTTGTTTTTTTTTTTTGTTTGTTTGTTTGGTTTGGGGTTTTTGTTTTAGGTTTTGGTTTTGGTTTTGGGTTTTTTTGTGTGTGTGTGCCCCTGACAATACTCATCCTTGGGAAAATGTGAAAAACGCTGACCTTAGCCAAAATACTCCCTCCAGAAATTTAAGTCGGAAATATGAATAAGGAGGCAATTTGCCTTGGAAACAATCTGAAAATACACTAAGATAAAAGCAAAGTAAAGTTCTACAGAAGCTGAACCTCTACCTAGAAAGCATACAGTAACAAAAAGAAATGCAAAGTAAATGGAAAGAATTAAGCCATTTAATGAATTAATTTAAAAAATGTTTATTGAGCCCTGACCAGTGTGGTTCAGTTGGTTGGGCATCATCCAGTGAAGTGAAAGGTCACCAGTTTGATTCCCCATCAGGGCACATTCCTGAGTTGTAGGTTCTGTCCTCGTAGAGGGTTATGTTCCAGATGCAGCCCATTGATGCTTCTCTCTCACATCAGTGTTTCTCTCCCTCTCTTTCTCCCTTCCCTTCTGTAAAAATAAATACAATCTTTTTAAAAAGGTTATTGAGTGTCTGGTATATACCAGACACTATATATCAAGTACTGGGAATTCAACAGGAACAGCAGGTCTAGAGTCTACCAGCTTGTGATTTATCAGGCAAGAAAAACATGTTCATCAAAGAGACATAGAAGTACCTAGTTACAAGCTGTGAAAAGTGCTTTGAAAGAGAAGTATATGGAGGTCTAAAAGAACACTGAGTGAAAATCAGGTCCAGTATGGGGAGTGGCTTGTAGAAAGTTTTTCTAAGGCATTTATACTTGAGCTGCTGTCAGAAGGTTGAGGAAGAGTTAAATGACTAAGATATGGTGGGGAGGGCATTCTAGGTCTGGTGTACAGTAGGATAGCCCCTAACCACATATGACTATTAAGCATTGGAAATATGGCAAGCCCAAACTGACATATACTGTGAACATGAAGTACTCATTAGATTTTGAACATTTAGGTCCAAGAAGGAAAAATGTGAAATATCTCACAAGTAAATTTTTTGTGTTTATTACATATGGAAATGATAGTATTTTGAACAACCACGTTAAATATAGTGTTGAAATTAATGTTACCTGTTTCTTTTTAATCATAGCTACTAGGAAATTTTAATTTAAAAAAAAAAAGATTTTCTTTCTTTTCAGAGAGCAGGGAAGGGAAGGAGAGAGGGAAAGAAATCTCCATTTGTTGCCCTGGCCCAATTGGGGACCTGGCAGGCAACCCAGGCATGTGCTCTAACTGGGAATTGAACTGCCAACCTTTTGGTTCTCAGGCTGGCACTCAACCCGCTGAGCCATGTCAACCAGGGCAAATCATGACAATTTTAACATATTCAAAATTCTCTACTCAAGTAGCAGAAGTGGCAAGAGCAGGCCCATGTTCTGGCCACCTCCCTCTGCGTACTCCCTCCTGACTGTGATGAGAACTGACATCTGGGTTTGGGCCTAGCCCCAGCTCACCAGTATTCTTAGCCCTAGAATTTGGAACCCAAGCTCATTTCACAATAAATTATTAGATGCTTCGCTTTCCAGTTACCATAGGTCTGTGGTGTATCACCCTCCCAAATGTCAAGGGATGGAGGAACTGTGGCATGAAACAAGGTTCAGATATTCCTAAGGTCCCTGACCTTAGAACCACGAAACCCACCCCCACCCCCAATAAAGCTCTGTACCCAAGGGTTTTCCTAAAGCCCTACCAGCATTGATGCCTTTTTAAAGTATAAATATATGATGTATTATTTAATGAAATAATCACAAATCCAATTATAGTGAGTAAAAATTCTTAACACTTTTTCTTACTAAGGCTGTTATCATATTGCATAATGTGTTCTATATAATGACTTTCAGCCTACAGAAAGCAGTGGCCTTACTCAGCTGAGTAACATCCAACAAATGTTTGGGTGCCTACTGTGTACTGGATGCTGGTACAGCAGAGAAAAACACAAAAGTATCTTAAACATGCTCACAATCCAAATAGTCAGGACTTGAAACACCGTCTTGTAATTATGTAACTAGTGTAAAACATGCCAGAAACTTTGGTGGGTGGCCATATTCAGTGAGTGACATGACACCCACCTGCAGCCCCTCTCCTTGGGTTTGCAAAGAAACCACAGATTTACCACCACAGAGTTTCCACCGTTCTCCATCCCTGGAACCTAGCCTTGGGAACCGAGCTGAGCTCTTGAGATCTGCTGGTAACAGTCGTTGGGACAGCAGCCCTCTGGCTGGTGCCCCTTCTGTGAATAACTACAATGCTTTTTTTCCAGGATGGTCAATTCAGAACCTTTTACTAATGCTGAATTCAGGAAGGAGTTAAAAACATATTCTCCAAGTTATCCCTAGGAACTTTAAGATGTCTTAGCTTCAGATAAGGCTCACAAGGGATAACCTTCAATCTAATACTGACAAGTTCCCTTTTTAAATGTACAAAACTCACAGATATCTTTGATTAGAAGAATTCTGATTACGTTAGAATTGCCATGATCGACTTAGGCCACTGGTTCCTGAAGTATATAGTTCAGGAACCCCTGGGGGGTTCTAAGGCCTTTGTGGAGTCAGCAAAGTCAAACTATTTTCATAATAATACTAAGGTGTTTTGTCTGTTTCACTTTCCTCATGCGTGTACCTGGAATTTTCCAGCAGCTATATGACATAGGATGATGTTATCACTCTGACAACTGAAGAATGTGTGATCTTATGTTTTAAACTTTTCTTAGTTTTTGATATTAACATGATAAATATCAGTAGACTACAACCCAATTTAAAAAAAGCTCTTAGGGCCCCTGGGTAGTATTGACATATTTATGAGCCTGAAGAGGTCCTGAGACCAGCCCTTGGCCAGGTAGGTTGGTTAGATCATCCTGATAGACCAAGGTTGTGGGTTTGATCCCTGATCAGGGCACATACAAGAAACAACCAATGAATGCAAAAAATAATTGGAACACCAAATTGATGTTTTTTCTCTCTGAAGTCAATAAACAAAAAAAATTTTTTAAGTGGTCCTAAGATGGTTTGTGACCTGTTTGCTCAGGCTTAGTTCCTCCAAAGACTGTGTAGCTGTGAATGTGGCAGCGTAGCACCTACTGAGTGCCAATTATGCCACGGTACAGCCTCAATGAACATAAACACATGACTGGGTTCTGTTCCAGGTTTCTGGTTGGGGGCATGCAAGAGGCAACTAATCAATGTTTCTTTTTTACATCGATGTTTCCCTCCCTCTTTCTCCTTCCCTTACCCTTTCTTTAAAAATAAATAAATGAGATTTTTTAACATTTTTTTATTTTTTAGAGAGCTGGGAAGGGATGGAGAAAGAGAGGGAGCGAGACATCAATGTGCGGTTGCCTCTTGTGTGCCCTCCACTGGGGACCTGGCCTGCAACTCGGGCATTTTCCCTAGACTGGGAATTGAACTGGTGACCCTTTGATTCGCAGGCCAGCACTCAATCCACTGAGCCACACCAGCCAGGGCAATAAATAAAATCTTTTTTTTTTTAATTTTTTAAAGGATTTGA